GATGAAAAGAACAGTGATACCTTACATTCCTTCATATCAACTATAAGAAGAAGAGACATAGCATCTTAGCTTGGGGATAATTGTGAAAACTGTCCCTTATGTTTATCCTGACCTGACTTTCATATTTACTTATTAATATTTTAACTTTTTAATATATACTTATTCATTTTTACATTCATAATTTCTTTTTTTGCATGTGTCCCCAATTAGCAGCAATGCTAAATACCCCAGACATGTTAATAGAGGTTTTTGTTGTTGTTGCTGTTGTTGAAGCCTGAAAAGGTCACTGGAAGAAGTTTTTGAAATTTATAGGAGTGAAAATGTCATCAAGAAACTAGCACACAATGCATCTTCACGAAGAAATGAAAGGCAAAACAGTACTACGGGTTCCAAAAACCCCAAAATACGTTTTTATGGGGGAAGTGAGAGTGCTGACCAGAGAGTGGCATGTTCTGTTGCACAAAAAAATCTGGGTAAACAATATCTTTGAGTGTTTTGCAATCGGCAAATATTATAACCCCGGGTGCACCATGACAAGTCAGGTTTCAAAAATGGATTATGAAAGGAAGCAAGACCAACTTCGAAAACAAAGCAAGGACTTCAAGAAAAAGCGAAAGCAGCTTAGAAATATTCATTCAAGCAAGGAGGGTAGACTTGAATCATGAGAAGGAGCTGTGTACAAGTCAGGCAGAACTTTATCCCTGGATCCGGAGGTAATAAATGCTGCTAGCATTCAAAGAGCTGAAATCTATTAATTTGAACAACAAGTACCCCAGTTTTGCTTTAGGAAAGCTAGAAGATACCAGACATTTGACCCTGGTTTTGAATACAACTTTGTCATTTACCACACAGAAACTAATTGTGGTGGTAAAAAGGCCAAACTCGTTGAATTATCTGCTTTTCGGCATGGCACTGGCGATTCATTCACAAAATGTCTTGCCTCAACATGATATTAATGTACATACAAGTAATATCAACAAGTTGCACATCGCATTGTTCGGCAATGAACATACACTCCACAGAAATGGTTTCACTTTATGAACTATTTTTCTTCCAGAATGTTTAGTCTTTCACTAACTTACTGAAACCCACAAGTGCCACAATCAAACAGGTAACATCAAAACCTGTGAAAATACTCCTCACAGGACATAACACAAACATATTTGACACACCATTGCTCTTACGAAGCATGACCAAGTAAAGAGAAATGGAACCTAAATTCAAAGAACTTGCCTTGCTATTTGCAGACAGTTTAATCTTGATCAGGCATCTTCTGACGGAAAACAACCAGTTGCTCTGTAAAATAGATGGAACAATTCCAATAGAAAACCTGCGAGATATGTACAAATGTCTGTTCCAGAGCGAATTTGATAATTCACATCAAGGCATAGCTGATGTCATGGCTCTAAACAAAGTGTTGTTTCAGTCAGAACTCAAATTGACAACAGAACAAATTGTGAACAACAGTAACATAATGATTCTGTCAACAGTCGAGGAAGATGTCCAGTACATGTATCACAAAGCCCACGAAAGACTTCTTACCTTCAACAACAGGCTCTACGATGACTCTGATAATCTAATCATTAAGAAAAGTCTTGCTAAAAAACTTGCAGACTCTGGTTTGTAATTTTCTGACTTGAGGAAACTGTACTTGTCAACTGGACCATGAGGTGTCACTGCTTTGCTAGCAAATCTGCCCGTGACATCCAAAGGAAAATTGCCATGAGGAACCAAGTGCAGCATAACATTGCAGAAAATAATCAACTTCCTCAAGACATTGCCTTGAAACGAGAAATGGTTGTAGAGTTTCACTGATTGGTTGGTGTTGTTAAAAATCGCTAACGTAGCATTGCCTTTTGTCACTTTCGCATTCTCATACTTATAGAATCCTTTAGGCGAGCATTGTGAGTTGTGTAAAAGCCATGCCAGAGGGAATGAGTACCGTAGTCAAATAATGAATGGTAATTCAGCAAAAAGCCACTTTGTCTTCTGTCTGAAACCTTTTTTTGTGCAATTCAATAACCTGAATTTCTCAATTGGTTTGATGACAACATGCGTGTGCACACACATGTGTGCATGCGTATTGCTATTGCTATTCTTGTCCAAGGTTGCAAAAAGTCCCCTTCTGCGCTAAATTTCTCGAAAAGTAGTTGTACGAACTATCCTACAAATTTCAGGAAACATAAACAGGACCAAAACAGACCTATAGAAGTAAAATTGTCAAAATCTGTAAGCTAATTTTTTTTTTACATTTGACTTTTTACCATTTCATTAATTAGGAAAAAACTGCCTTGCAGACTTTTTTTTTAGTTTGTAAGGATGTTCCTTGGTATTTAACAGTAAAACAGACAAAATGCTAGGTGTGGTAGAACAGGTCAGTTTCCCCAAAAACACAGGTTTCCAGCTTGTTCCCAGGTCCCCTAAATGGGCCTGGTCTTCTCGTTTCGTGCCCCTTTAACTTCCCAGATGGTAATTTGAAGCAGCAATGGTCTCATTTAGGGGTTTTTATTTGTTATTAGAATATTGATGCAAAAAAAAAAAAAATTTGCACTTATTTATGGTATACATCTCTCTCAAATATCTGAGGTTTGGGAAAACGCACAGATTTAAACTCAGACAAGTGTCATCTTTATTAATCTCCTGTAAACATCACAATTTCTTGACTTTATCCACTAAATGGTTTGAATAACTTTTTATTGCATCAGGATTACGTGAGAGTGGAAGCCAAGAATTGTTTTACCGGTGTCTACATACATTAGTTTCTTTCAGGTTACATGTACAATAATTCGCTACATGGTTTTCATTCTTGTAAAGACACATAACTCTCTTACAGGAAAATAATGAGAGAATATTGTTTAGTTCAAGATTTTTTTTACTTTATTGTACTTTACGAAGTTTCTCAGAGCATTTTACATAGGTGTACTTGAACAGATACATTCGTAAACAAATTCTCTAACCTTTCCTCTCTCATTGCTCAGATTTCCTTGAGTTCGTGCTGGGATTCTACTTGGTTCACAATTACATCTAAAAATATGATGAGGCTTCTGAAGATTCTTTTTATCAAGTTGAAGAGTTGATAGCCCCTGTTGATAGCTCCTTTAGTATAACATGATTCTTGATAAATTTGCTCAAAAGCCAGTTATATTTTCAACAAGATGTCTCCACGTATTTTTTTTTACACTACATAGTAAGTTACTTAATTACTTTACATACTACTTTTACATCCATATTGTATACTACACTACTTCACAATACTTATACTTAACACCCGAAACGGAAATAATTAAATAAATAAGGTTTACAAGGCTTACAATACTACATAAGTTTTCTAACAATACAGAAAAAAGTGTTTATACAATAAATATACAATAAAAAATATACAAATAAGTGTCTCTAATTAGTGAGAGGCTTCCACTTTCCTTCATGCATTTTGAGTCAGTTGTTCTTTATGGCTATAGATCGCTCAATGGATTCTATGTGATCTAATTTTATCATGAGACAACGCAATGATGGTAAAATATTCTTCAGACAACTGTGGTAGATAACTAGTTTTCCAGCAATGATGATATGATTTAAAAGCAACCAATGAGACCTTTTTTGTGTCAATCCAAAAAATATGTCACAGTCGTTTAGAGAATCAATAGCAATGTGCAAGGATTTCAGCCAAAGAACAACAGACATCCAAAATGCTACAATGAAATCACACCTACAAAAAAGATGCTTGAGAGATTCATCTGAAATTTACAAAAAGTGCAGAGGGGTGAATCAATCGTTTTCATTTTGCATAAGGATTTGTTGGTGTAAATTATGCGATTTAGTAATCTATACTGATATACTCTTGTTTAGTGTCAAGCGTGACAATATGAGGAATTTGATAGATCACTTCCCAATTAATATCACCACTATTCTGAAACAAGGTACTAAATTTATGCTGTGCTGAAGGATAGACCTGAATAGTTTCTATAAGTTTCCAATGCAATTTCAAGGTAGTGATTGAATCAAGAGGAAGGGTACTCTCTTCAAGTAAGGAGTGTATCTGAGGATGATATTTCGAGAGTCAGCTGAAGTGTCATCTTTGGAGTTGATGAGCTTTTTCCTTGTGAGAGGAAGGGAAGTGAAAAGACCAAGTATGGTGATTTATCCAAAAAAAGGCTTCAGCTGGGAAACTTCACTCAAAATAGCATCTCAGCTTTCAAAGACATGATGGGAGAGGAATGCACGTTTCAAGAATACTTTAAGTCTCATGGATTGTCTGCAAGTAAATTTCCCATTTACATCATGTCAAAATCAACAGGAGATATAGAAAGTTCAACAAGGAAAGATCCTCCTAGCCCCATAATAGTCGCAAGTTCCTTGTTTGGCAATGAGAAAGGATCACCAATAAAGAACGTTTTCATAGGATGCAGCAGACGCAAACTGACAGGAGAATTTGAATATCTCCAGATGGCAAGTATCCCAATCCAAAACGTGTCATGTGACCAAATGGTTACGAAATCTCAAGCGCCATTGTTTGGCTTGGCTTTGAAAGAAGACGAAGGTACCCTTTGCACTGCAGAAAGCACAGATGCCCATCGCCTGACGATTAATTATGAAATGTATACAGAATCTTCTTACTCAGAAGTTATTCTCACATCAGTTGCATTTTCAAGGAAAGATTACTTCAACATTAAATGTGTCTCGGAGCCTCATTTGCAAGACATTGACGTGGAAGAATTTAATCCTTTGGAGCATGGCTTTACAGTGGTTCACATTTCAAACAGCCAAACATGTTTCCTCAACGTGCATGAACCACCTGAAGTACCATTTAGCCCATCTCCTGGCAAGGTTTCACCTGAGGTAAACAATCACGTTGAAGAGGCAAAGTCTGATCATCTTATTATTTATCTGCCTTCGGAAGTGTGGGAGTATGATAGTGACTGTCTAATCCTTGGAGTAGTGGCATCTTGTCACATGGCCATAAGTGCCTTATATGTGTGGTACTGCAATAGAATACCATACAAACAGGGAAATAAACTGTCTTGCATAGCAATCAGAGAGCCCAGTCTGTACGCAGTGGAAGTTCAGTATGGGGAGGAGAGGGATATTTCTGAACCTGTCTACACACATACTTTTTCAGATGAAAAAAACATTTCTTTCTTAACTGCAATGGATGGGGAACAAAGTGGCACATCCAACCCATCTAAAAACGAGTCCTCGCTTCCAGTGGTGGAAAGAGAGAGATCTCATTCTCCACTAAGGACGAAATAGGCAGAGGCCCCTTTGGTGTTGTGTTTAAGAGAGAATGCGCTGGTACAGTGGAACGTAGAGTTAACAAAGTCACTGGGGACTGGCCAAATTTGTTTGTTAAATCGAGGGTTCATTACATCGAAAACCTTGATATAACGAATTTGAGGGGAAACAACCAATATGTTCGTTATATCGAGGTCATAGTTAATAATTGATTTAACACAGGTGACTTCTGCAACGCAATTCAATGCAATTTCATCACCCAGAAGTGCCCCGTTTTGAGATGCAATTCATTAAGCATGGTGGCTTTCAGTATCAATTATTTTCACTTTTGAGCAGACACGCAGCTTTTGTTTACAAGAGACACTCAAAAAGACTTTCAGAAAGACACTTTCAGAGTAACGATTTAAAAAGGTTGCAACATAGAGGTTATACAGAAAATTGTCTATGTAAACAAGAAAAATTGTAATTCGTTATATCGAGGTAGATTTTATGTTTGGGCTTCCAGATTATGTTCGTTATATCGAAGAATTCTTAAAAAAACTCCGTTCTTTTGGTGTCCGAGTTCACTGCTGGTTCCAACTTAGAGGAACTAATGTTTCCAATGTTCACAATGACAAAGCGTTCACCAATGAGGCTTGTGATGAAATGTTTATAAGAAAACAAATTTGCTAGGCCATGGCAATCAACTATAAATGTTGTCTGATGTATTTCATATGCCAGACCTTGGTTGAATAAAACCACATATAAGTAGTTTGTTGTGCTGGCAATGTGCTCAATAGCCTGAAATGTCAGTCATCTCGCACCCTCAACTCTGCATGCCCATGGTTTATCTAACCACAGAACTTTTCCACCAATTGTGGAACAGACAATTGCAAATAAAGGAATCTGCAAACTGTGGGTGAGGCTGCCAACGTTTTTGTCAGGAATGTTTACGAAATTCACCAAGTCACCAAATCACAAAAGTACTCACAAGAACAGACTTTACCAGCTTTCATTTTAGGCTTTACCTTGTGAGTATTTTGTTTTGTTATTTCATGTTTCCTTTTTAAATACCTTTATCATGATTGTTTCACAGGACATTAACTTCTTATTTTTTACCACCAGTATCACTTCACCATACATCTAGCTAGAAGCCGTGGAACCTGGGCTGTGAAGCTCAGGCTTTCTCAAAACTTGCCTTATAACAGACTTGGCTTTAGATTGTCTTATACTGTGAGTGTTATTTTTATCAGCTGTATCTGCTTCTATGCCACTATATCTCATTACATTTCTAGCAGAAGTACCTCCCTGGAGGTGGAAGAGTCCTATCGCAAAATGTAATTTGTGATAATCGGTATTGACATAAATTAATATTTTACTGACACGGAACGGAGAACTGGGTGGGAGAGTAGTGCGCTAAGGCTCATGGGTAGTGCATTTGTAAAAAGAGACGGTTGAGAAACTTGTGACATTCTATGGTCAGCCTTGCCACTAGCACTTTCCCATAAGGTTTATTTCTTCTCTTCATCACTTTTCCTTGGCTAGTTACGGATGAAGCAGGCGTCAGGAAAGTCATTGCTGAAAACAACAAAGATCTTATCATTCAGATCAAAGATCTCGTAAATACTTCAATTTCTGACCTCAAACGATATAACAAGTCTATCGCTTCTCAACAGATGTCAGAGATTAAGAGGCTGAAGTGAGATTCTGTTCCTCACTTCAACAAAAAGAGCAATGAGGAGTAGTACAAAGCTAACAAAGCTATTAAAGATGCTGTTGAAGACACCCACCCCTCAAAAGGAACGACGTCGAGAAGACCAAACAAGCCTTAGATAGAGGTATGGACCTGCTTCAAGAGCATCAAAAATTAGTCTTACTAGCTGATAAATCACAGTACGGGTGGAAGACGGTCCTCGAATATAAACACCATGATCTCACAGACAACGAAGGAGCTGAGAAAAAGATATACAGGGCCGAATGCTGAGCAGCTAGGTCCACGAAGCATTTGACATCTCGCTCAACCTGGCAAAGAAGTAATGTCACATTGACTTCAACAACTGCGCAGCTTTCCGCCTCCAGCTACCCAATTTGTTTTTGCGCGTAAACCCACAGCTTTCGTCTGAGAGACCAGCATCTGGTTTGTGCTTTGCTTGTGGCAAACCCGGGCATTTGACGGCTTTCTGTCCTAATTTGCGATTTAATGTTCCTTCTAATACCGGTCAAAATCCCAAATGACCCACTTCGGACATCGAATGGAACAAGACCTTGCTCATGATGATAGCGACAAATTAGTTTTTCTTTGTGTCAATGGAAATTCTTTCGAGGTTAAATCCAGCAAGGACTATTTGTCCGTTAAAGGATGGCTACGTGGAGCCCTCGCATTCTGGAATGACATTCACGTGCCTCAATTTATCCTGGTTGTTATTGAATATGGTTATAAATTACAGCTTCTTCAAATTCCTCCACCCTTCATAGCTAAAAACAATAGTTCAGCTTTGGAGCAGCCAGCTTTCGTCGAAAGTGCTATCAACGATCTCATTATCAACAGTTGCGTCATTGAAGTGTTTGAGGCTGCTGTTATCGTCAATCCTTTGTCCATATCTATTCAAAAATCAGGCAACAAGCGTCTAATTTTAGACCTTCTCCACGTTAATCAGTTCCTCTATAAATGCTGATTCAGATGAGAGGATTTGTCTATTGCAAAAGAGATTTTGAGGGGGGATTGGGCCGAGCATGGGTAGAGTATAGACGTGTTTTTGCTAGCTCCGCTCAAAATTCGTATATGGAGGCCTCTAC